TGGCCAGATACAGACCCTTTCAATATTTAAATGAGCCAGGAGAACTTCTCCACTGGGTACTTCACTCCAGTGGATCTCTCTTGTGCTGTTTCCTGGGCACTGTCAGGCTGCTCAAGTATCATTTGGTGAATTACTCCTTCAGGGCACTCACTGAGGAGACTTTGATCTCTCTTTTTTAATCTACAATTTTTGTATGTAAATTTCAAACCTTAAAAGACAGTTTCCCAGGATGGCATCCAAGAGATCTTATAGCCTGAGGATACTAAAACTATTTCTTGGGAGAAGGATGCAACTGAAGATAAATCTCCAAGTGTCTTTCTTGGTTATTCTCTTGCTACAGGTTTTATGATCAACCCAGGCTGTTGTGAAGAGACCTAAAAATCAATGCCTCTCATTCTTAATGAGACCCTTAATGCTTAGTACGATGACAGCCAGTGTGAAATTGAATACTGACAACTCTACCCAGCACAAATATTTTTACTATGCATTTCAATTTAAACATGTGTCAAGTCAATTACATATATAATATATAGGGTTTAAAGACTATTGCACTCAAGGCTTGGGTAGTACACACTCTTCAAATCTCTGTTCAGTATAAGAGGACTCTGGTACAATAGGCAAGCCTCTTGCAAGTCTGTAATAAATCATCTTTGCAACCATAAGCATGTACAGTTGACTGCTTACCACTGTTCCACAGACCCACCCCCACCTGGTAGAATTTTAATTCCCTCAGTAAAATTGATTCCACCAGTTCTGCACATTATTCTCCCTGTCTTCCATTTAGCGAGTTAGTTTGCTGACAGTAGAGTACACAGCACTTAGCAGCTGGTTTGTGGAACCATCAGTCAGGAAATTGTATGATAAATAGGAGGTAGCCAGGTTTAGTGGCACTTCCTTCTGCTTCAGCAGTTTTCGCCTGACTTTGGAGAAGTCATCATGTGGTGTTTTGTCAAGGGCCAGGGCAGGAGATGGCTGCGGTGCGGTAACTTATTACACATACACTTGAGTTATGATGCGCCACAGCTGCGCTGCTCATGTGTAAATAATAAACCGAGAGGCGGATAATTATGGTGGCTGCTGGCGACAGGAGCCTTGTCTTGTCATGTGGGTTTTCTTGGACAGCTTTTTGGGTCTGTGATCGAACATGCTGCTGATCCACGTAGAAAAGACGAACGGAGACTTGAGACGGGAACCCAGTGTTTGAGGATTCAAGAGCATCTTTTGCGAAACAAGTGAGGGTTAATGTTATGTGATGCGGTGCGTGGCAAATGCTCACACTGCTTTCTGTTCTTTATTAATTGTTTGGGGCTATGGTCAAGCATGTCTTGAATTGGAAGAGGGGTGTTTCATTGAGTTTTTCCAAAAAGTGGAGTCGGAGGTGCGATTTCCACTAATGACCCACACAAGCTACAGTGGTTCAGAGACTTCAGCTGGACAGGAAATACTTGTTTTAAACTTGAAATCAATAGGGAAACAGAAACTGTGAAACACTTAAATTAAAGCCAGATGTCTTTTGGTCAGATCTGATCATATCCATTAATTTTCTGTTCTTTATTTAAACCTAATACCAGAATGCACAATTCATAATAAATTTCCTTGGAACATAAACACTGTGTAAACAGCATTACAGGATGCACCAGATACTTTCAATCAGAATTAACTTTGAAACTCACAAAATGCTATTGGGTTCAATAGTTGAGAAATGGCTACTGAATGCCCCAGTCATTGTGTTTTATATTTTCCTCTCAATTTTTTTTTTTTTTTGCAGTGCTTGGTCACTTTCTCTTTAATTCTGAAAAGAGAGAGAGAGAGAGAGAGAGAGAGAGAGAGAGAGAGAGAGAGAGAAAGTGAACCTAAATCCTGAAAGAATAATTTTGTGGAAATGAAAAGATGGCAAAGTCTCTTCAATGTCACTGTTAGCATAGGTTTTCCTGGGGGAAGAGATTTTTTATGCTGCTTGGGTACTCTTCATTTTATAGGATTAACTGGTTAGTCTTCATCCCTATGCACATAATCACTGTAACTTTGTTATAAATGTTCACATACAAGATAATGACTGTTATTTCCTAGATATGGGAGGCATATATTAAATGTGGAATAGATTCACACATTAGCCCTATGTGTATGAAATGCCTGCTTGTGCTTTTTCATAATTCATAGTTATGTTAACAATTAAAAAATCCAGAAACAGTTACTATCCACTTATCTGATGGAGAGAATTTATTTATGAAAAAATGTATCAAGAACCAAAACGTAGAGAAGTAAAATTTCCATATCTTCTACCTCTGATATAGTTGTCACAATGTTCCTCAAAACAACCTTATAAATGGTGGTGCGCTAAAGAAGCCCTTAGGAGGTGGATCATATTTTATGAGTGCTTAATTTATCTAGGGTTCTAATAAGTTTACTTCTCTGTTTCCAAGAGCAGGGTGATATGTATTAAGTGAGGAGTCTGTTTGGATCAGCAGGGACAGCTTTTAGGTGTGGAAGAGAAAGTAGAGCCATCCCCATATTTGATGGCCATCTACCTTACCCCAGATTTGAATCCTATTAGCATGGGTTTGTTTCAAAATTTAAAATCAGGAAACATTCACTGAGTATTTATTAGACTTGCAAACTAGTATCAAAGATTATGTCACTCAGTTTTGTTATTTTAAGGAGGATGAATAATTTTCAAGAAAAATGGTTGAATAAAATACAATGATTTAGCCAGGTATGGTGGCACATGCCTGTAATCCCAGCAGCTGCAGAGGCTGAGGCAGGAGGATCACAAGTTCAAAGCCAGCCTCAGCAAAAGCGAGCTTCTAAGCAACTCAGTGAGATTCTAAAATACAAAATAGGGCTGGAGATGTGGCTCAGTGATCCAGTGCCTGAGTTCAATCCCTGGTAACTGGTACCCGCTCTCCACCCCCCCAAAAAATAGAATGGTTTAGCTCTCTTTGGGTGACATTGATTGCTGGAGTTAGGTGCAACAGGGAATTTGCCAACATTGCTGGATGAACTTTCAACATAATAAATCAACTATTAATATTTGCATTACAAAAAAACTGACCCCCCACCTTCTTTACATCCTTAATGGTGAGCTTAAAATGCAATTAATTTTTTTCATATAAACCTTATGAAATGTCTTAACATGTTATAAATGWTTGGACAGTTAGTGTTGAATTTCCAGCAAAAAAATATGATATGGTGCATGTCATATCACGGTGACAATGATTTGATAGTACCAAAGTGATTCCTTACTTTTTTCCATACCACTGCATCCCTCCTTCCCCAACCTTATAACAAGCACAGAATATATTTGAATAAGAGTGTCATTTTTCAGTATGATATCCCTCTTGGACTATTTTCTAAGTCTTAGATACAGTGGAACATTGACAAAATTATAACTTTGGGCCTCTTCCTGGCACACAGCTTCTATCAATGTGATACCCATAGTTTTTACACTCTTATTTTTTTCTCAATAAACATAGACTTATATTATCAAAGGATAGTAGCAAGAGTAAAGCTAAAACAAGGGAGGCAATCTGTATTAAAATTATTTTAAAAATATTTGTTATGCTCACATTCTAAAAGATGCTGGCTGAAAAACATTTGGAAAATTGAAGGATGTTCAGGGAAGAAAGTTACAACTACCTGGATTCAGCAGAGGTGCATGTAGTGGTCATCCACTTATCCACTTTCTCTTATGAAAATGAACACTTGGAGTGTGTGTTGCCAACCTCAGGGGATGAGGTCCTCATCCTGGCTTTTGGACACCTCCCACACCCCACAGCCTAGTCTTCTTCCAATGGTCACCCACAACTTGTTCATAGGGCCCCATTTGGATTGTCCTTACAGCCTGTTTTCCTCAGCCCAAGAAAAAATCTTGAGGCTTCTAGAGGTAACTCAGAACCATTCTGAGGCTTGTTTGGTACACATATCACCTTCTGAGGTGCTGGAGATGCCTGGGTTACCACGATGACCAGCTGTGATGGGCTCATATTTGAAGAAGTTTCTGCACATTTGCTGTCATTATCAGTCTTAAAGCTGTGGAGTAAAACTTCCAGGTTCAGTCTCCTTTATCTTGTTTCTTGAAACTTGGGAGAAGCCTTAGTATCATTACAAAGTATTGGTCTTGCTTCTAATTATAAAATCTCCTAAAACTTTTCATTTTTTTAAAGAGTACATCAACTACTTTTTGAAATAAAAATTTATTTTCAGATGTGCAAGAGGTGATGGATATGAGGAAGTGCCAAGTGGTGTAAAGGAGCTATTAGAAGGCACACAGGACCCAGGAACTAGTGACCAGTATATGAGAGGAAAGGGAGGGAGCGGGTCTGGGTCCAAAGCCAGTGTTCAGGCTACACTGTTAGGAACCCCCTGCACTTGCTCTAAATTCCCTAAGTCTATGTGAATCTGCTCATCTCTCCCATCTAGGCCCTTAGTCTTTCTCTGGCCAGGGTATAGATTTGATGCCTTGGTGATGGGACTATGGATGTTTAACCCAGGCCCTGAAGGAGGGGAACATACATTTAAATTAAAAAAAAAAAAAGTGTGTGTATGTGCACACATAGAGTATAGCAAAAACTTCGGATTGTTAATAAATAAATAAATTTAAAAAACAGCAAGGGCATGGGAGACATGAGACTAGTATTTATATTATGATGCCTTTGTCTAAAATTTACTGGACAGTATAATTTTTCTGCATTGGCTTTGTGGCTCCTTTCAGTCTTTGCTTCTGGGCAACTTTTCTTCTAGAGTAGAAGCTATGCCTTTCTTCTTCTTACTTTCCTGCCTGGGATTTAGTGGGACTGTACTTTTTCTGAGTGGGTATGTAATATTCACCCAGACATTCTCACCTCAATGAGTCCAGTCATTAAATTTCAAGAGTCCTTTCAGAAATTCTAAAAGTAGATTCAGCCTCAGTAGTGAAGATAGCACGGCAGTGTCACCTCATGAATTGAAATGCTGTTTCCAGGTGTTCCTCTTATGTATGGTGGACTTTCTTTCTTTTTCAGACCCTCCTCATCTTTTTCCTGCCTTCCACCCTCCTGTGCCAATTGATGCGAGACATCATGAGGGCCGTTACCATTATGATCCGTCTCCTATTCCTCCATTGCATGTGTAAGTATTAAAACTGTACCCATTAATGAAATGGAACAAAATACCAGCTTTGATGAGCTCAGGATGTTTTCTTAATGGCACATCTACTGAGCTTTAAAGATGTGATAGAAGTATAAGATTTACTTCTGAAATGCAGCAGGTCTATCTGTTTCTGGATTCACTGAAGCAAATCCCTGCTGTTTCTTGAGGAATGCCTGTCACACTAGGTAGCTGGCAAGTATTTCCTATATATTTTGCTGACGTGTGTTCTGTGGGCTATAAATACAAAATTAAAAATTAGAGGCTTACTGTAAGAGTTAGCTCTGAGAATATGTATTTGGTCAAGATTAGGTTTGAAGTTTTTCATGCTAAAATTTTCATCAGAAGAAACGCCTGTCCTGGGGATCCCAATGAATCATAATGAAATTTTTATGGTAAATTTTCATAGCCCCCATGGTATGTACACCAACAGTCACTTGATTGATGGCAATGTCACCCAATACAAAATGGTAAATGTGATCCAGCACATGGTTTACACAAAGATAAAGGAAAGAATGGTGGTGATAATGTGTATTATAAAAGGAAAAAGAAACCTAAATACCATCTCCCTTGGTTTGAAAGAATAGTAGATTTGCAAACTAAAATAGTATTTATTTGGAGTACTATCTAGAAAACTGTCCTACACTGTAATAATTGGAGCCATTCTCTGGGAGGGGCTGTCCTCTGCTAATGGCTTGATATACACATTTAGTCATATGTAATAATCACCCTTCATTCTGAGACAGTAAAGTTAAAAAAGCACAAATAATACTTTGAAGAATAATGCTGGTTATTTAGATGGTAGATTGCATCTCCCTGGCTATTAGTTACAGCTGTGTAATTACATATTATGCTGAAGAAAAATGAAGTTGTTTTAAAACAAGTCCTCCTCTGTGAACAGAATTAATTGATATTAACAGTCCTAACTACATGCCCAAGTACACATATAATATTTTACCAACAGTTTTTTGGATCCATCTCCCATTACTGAATTGTAATTTCAGTGTAGATTTGCCTGGAGGTAAGTAATAAATCTGTGTTGCAGACTTCTTTAAGCATTAAAGGAAAAGTGGGTATTTATAGAGAGAGAATGCAAGAAACTTGTGACTTATTCTTCAACTTTTCTCTGCAACACAAGTAAGTATTTACAGCATTCTGAAGCCTGCTAAAAATACACTCACATAAAACCAAGAGGCCAATTTAAGACCCCTATACAAAGGGAAGGAAATTCCAAATTCAGACTGAAACATGACATGTAATTCACCCCATTATACAGAGCTTTTATGGTACAGATGGGACCACATGGATCTCAGATGAGGCTCTACCCTGTGGCATGTAGGCCCTGGAGACAAGGATAGCTAATTCCTCCCAGACTTGAGGTTCTATGATGAAGTAATTTAAATCATATTTCTTATAGAATTTTGGAGTTCTTTGCTCTTTACAAAATCATGTTCTAAAGAAATTTTTAAAAATGAGTTTAAGTAATAGTCTTACCTACTTCCTCTAGGTTCATCATAGTTTGTCTTGTAATTAAATTCAAATATGAATTTATCAGTAAAAGTCCCAATTCTTGGTTCTTTGACAATAAGCCCTCCTATGGTCCCTACAGTGTGCTGTAGACTCTACTTGTCCTATCTGCCCTGACTCCTAGTGATAACAGTGCCATAGGATAAGGATCAGACAGTTCAGGACTAGAGAATGCTGGGGTAGGGCAGGGCAGTTACATTTTAGGTGTTACTTTGAGCTGGGATTTCTGTGCATTTTAATGCTTCTTACTTTCTCAACCAAGATTTAAGATATTTATTTTTACAGCAATTAATGAAATGTTTCTCCAGCAGCCTACCTGTGTAATTATCTAAGTTTCACAATGTACGTCTGGTAGGTCTTCCTGAGCCTCAACAGAGAAGACCTGGAGGATTCTGAGATGGAATGTCATTGCTGGTGTGTAGGGATCATGAGGAGTCTGTGGGTCTGTGGCCTCCTGGGACCGCTCCACTTTCACTCATCCTAGCAAGTCTCTAGGTGGATGCTGAGCAAATGGAGTGAGCTCCAGGAAGTTGGAGCATGACAACTGCATGCCCTCATCGCATGACATTCTCTCTGCATTGCCCTCAATGGTCCTCCCTCTCTGTAGGATGAATTCTGGCTCATATTCATCCTCAGAATCTGAGTCAATTGCCACCTTCCCCTGMAGACCCAGAGGCTCTGTTGTAGTGATACCTTTATTGCAGTGATTTTCCTTTTGCTTGGTAATTTATTATTAGCGATCACTGCCCCTTGCTAGTTTTCTGGGCAGTGTTCAGCACTTGGACAAGCCCTTTGCCGAAGGTGTTAGTGAGCAGTCACGTTGGTCTAGTGTGTGAGAGGATGGAGGGACAATCAGAGGGCTTGATTTCCCCTTTTCATTTTGCCACTCAATTGTGCTGTGACCTCTGGTTACTTGTTCTTGATGTGATGGTTTCATTGCATGGAAATGAAACAATCATTTGTTTAAACTTTAACCAGTTCTTCAGATTGCAGGGAGAATTCAAAAGAAATAACGTTCATGCAAGCACACTGAAAAACATGGAGCTCTGAACAAATGCTGGGGGTTAGCAGGTGAGATGGCCAGGGCTGTGGGGAACCAGGAGTTCCTCTCTTGGCCTAGCTCAGTGATGAGTGCTTGGGCTGCTTCACACCTGCTGACATGTGATGGGGAGGTGTCTGTGATCATCTTGAAAGTGGAGGGTAATGTTCCGGAATAACCAAAATCTGCAAAGCAAGTCTTTGCTGTGCGCTAAAGCACAACCGGAAAAAAAGAAAATTATTTCATCTAGAATCTGAATTTCAAAATGCTTTCTGTATCATTGTGTTCTAGAAAATGAGATCAAGTGAGCTTATTAAGCTCGGAGAGTAATATTTTAACTCTAAGAAGACAAAATTTAGGGGGAAATTCTCATTATTCTGTGTACACAATTGTTCTTCGGGTGCCAACTTTAGAAAATAAATTATAAGTCTCTGAAAAACAAGGATTTGTGTTGATGGAAATGCCGACAGATCTCTGTTTAGAAGGATGGCAGGCACTGTGATAATTATGCTATCATATCCCATCATTAAAGATTCTATTGAAAGAGGTTTATAAATTGCTCCTCTTTTTAGATAAACCGCCCTATATTAAGGCATCAACGATATGGTGCAGAATTAAATTAAAATCTCATAATATGAAATATGTTCTGTATTAGCTGTTTGACACTTAATTTGCCTCTGAATGAGTAGAGGAAATCACAAATTAACCTGCCTTTGTTTTTCCAACCATGGCTTATTAGGTGTTAGAACAACTGCAATTACAGCCTAATAATAACCACTAAGCCTTATAAATATGTACGGAAATACGTCAGCTTGTGTGAACGAACCCAGTTTGTTAAATGGAAAGCCTTCAGCTTACCCTGCTTGCTCTCACACAGTTTATGGTTAGGTGGTGTAGATATAGAAACTTAAATTGATTCAAATGCAATACTGGAAATAATATTAAAATTTATTAGTATTTCCTTTAGCTCAGAATCATGAATTTAGATTTAGAACATATAAGTAGGACATTGAATGTGGATATCCTCTTTCTCTGAGTTGTCACATAAAGCCCGTTTATAAAATGTACAATTCCTGCATTGTATTTGTGTATTTTGAGTAGTTTCTTAAACAGTGCATAAGTGGAATCTTCTCTTATCTTCTGAATTATTCTCCACTGAATTCACTAGAATTTATGCCTGATAGACTACCAAAGTGTCTTTATCAAATCATTTGTTATGACCATGGATTCTGATAAGTCGTATAGCAAAATTTAGACTATATTTTGTTTAATTACTGAGATTATTTGGACCGTGAATGAAACTTGAACCTATATACACACAGTCGAGGCAGTAATTTCATGTGTATTTTTACTTGGTCTTCTCTATATTTGCTGCCTGACTTGTTTACATCAAGGCTGTGTCCTTGTACAATCTGGGATTGCACTACTATCTTTTATGAGAATTAATGATTCCCTCTAGACTAAAATTATTAGCAGCTTTAAAAATTTCATTTGGAAATTTAGTCGATTGGTGTTTACATGCTTTTACCTTATAATACACTATAGAAGTAAAGTACTTTTTTCTCTTGCATTTTGAGTGTATTCTTTTTTTTTTAAGTGTTAGAATTCACCTAAGTATTCCTTCTTTTAAAAAGTAGAAATGGTATATTTCTAGAATCTCAAGTTATAAAGTAACTTTAAATTCTAATTTGATTTTATCCAATCTGGATTTTCCTGGGATATTTCCACACAATCTTTTTGAGCTCCAATCTTCTCATTCATGGACCAATATGAATTGGATTTAGGACTATCCCATTGCTTCATACTGAGATCTGCAATTCATTTTCTAAAGCAGCGTCCTTAGTTACTAACCCATTACAATAACCCAAGCCCCACACATCTTGCCAGTGGAGCTGAGCTGCGCTTGCTTTGTGCTGTGGATGTGTACAGTCCTGAACTCAAGCTGCATCCTGAGCCAGCACATAGAGGCCGGTGCATTCCTCCATCCACTTTCCTAATTGATTTTAGAAAACTCTTTATGTTTTCTGTCTTGGAGGAAGTGAGGACTCACATTCTGTTCCTTCCATTGAGTCACTCTTGTTCATTCTGGGCAAGAATGCCTGACTCATTGAAATCACTCTACCAAAGTAAGAAGAGCTGTTCCCCCCACTAAGAGGGGTGCCTGGGGAGAGGATTCAGTACAAGCAAGATAATTAATATTAGCTGTGAAATAAAATGAACTGGATATAGGTAAGGCTCTGCCCCCAGGATTAGACTGCCTTTTAGGCATGAGAGTAGAGAAAGAAGCAGCAAGTTTAGAGAATGAATACATTCATTACTTCTCAGAAAGAAGACACTGAGAAAAAGATATACCATTATAGTAAAAGTCTGGAGAAAAAAGTAGATGACCAGAGGAATTCCTGAGTCACTCCTCTTC